GACTTTTTTGTTTGCCTATACAGCCCAATTCCCCTTAAATAAAAGAATCAGAAGGCATTCTACAATTTTTTTCCCTTTTCCTTGATGATCTGTTGCTAGATTTTTATAATATTTTAAACCATTGGTATGGATTTAAGTAAAATTGGGCAAATGGACTGAAGAAGATTGGTGAGATCGGAATCTACAACTTATGTCATCATCTTCAAACGTTTCGCGAGGGACCTTTAGGGTTGCCTCTGTTGTGTATCATTTTTCTCTTTTCAAACTGACCATGGAGCTCTATACCTTGGCTAGGCAGTGACCACTTACCATGGTGGCAATACATGATTTTAAACGAATCAAGCGCGAAAGGATTGTCCTCATTTTTGGATTTGGAGCATGAGTTGACACAGAGATGAGCACACCAAAAAAAAACTTATGAATACAAAGTTTGATGGAGACGATAAAGTACGGTCAAATAACAGAATATGTGTCGGAAAGCGTGCAAGAACAGAATACACTTCTTAAGGAGCTTCCACGTAAATGCTGACATCACGAAGCAATTAACGTAGATGAAAATTAACAACACAATTTGTTATTGCTAGAAACATAACAAACAGAATACATGTCTTAACATAATATTTTGTTCTTTTTTGGTGACTTATATTCGGTCCGGCAGTTTTTGTATATATCAAAAATAAATATGTATATATTAATTTATAATTTTCATTAAAAATTATAGTTTTATAGTATTAAATAATATATAAATAATTTCAAAATAATAAATAACACCTAAAATAAAATATCAATCAGAACAAAATTTTTAATGTCTTGAAAGGAGTAATAATATTTTAAAGATTAAAAATATTTTTTTTACTTTAACTTCACCATTTATTTTATTTATGTCTAAACTCTAATAATATGAAACCCCCCTAATACTTGTTTATTATATATATCTATAAACCAAATTTTCAAGCTTTTTTATTATTTTATAAATCCAATTATATCTAATTATATATACATATATATAACTGATTTTTTTTTTAAAAAAAAAAGGTCCCAGAAAAGTGAGAGTCCCATGCAAATGTTTCACTCCAATATGCACAAGCCCGGCCTTGCTTATATTACAATCTATACTAATGCTTTTGCTAAAAATAATACTTATGTTCGAAAATAAACATAGATGAAACATAATAATACAGTTTGTTATATTTTAAACCATACATTTAGTACTGAGGAATTTTCAAAATAGAAAACAAAACTAAATTACCTAAAGTTAAAAAATAAGATAAAAACTAAAAATCAATATAAAACAAAGAAAATCATAATATATCACACACCTTTTTATTATTTTTTTGTCCTGATTTGTGTATCCAGAATGCACATCCTACAATATATGTGTGATTTTAGATATAATTTGACAAAATAATACTAAATTATTAAAAGAAAAATAGATAAATCTAAAGATAAATTATATTATTTATATTAATTATCGAATGTAAAGTTTTAATAAGTTTAAAGAGAATTTTTATGGTCTGTTTTCAAAATGACACAATAAAACCCCTAAAAATATTAAATTTAATAAAATTTATATTTCTAATAGTTTTAAATAAGAATCAACTATTTTTATAAACATAAATTCACTAACAAATGTCTTCATCATCTACATTACATGTATTCTAAACCATTAGTTTACATAATTTAGGTATGCATATATAAATACCAAAATATATAAATATCTAATACTCAAAAGAAATAATTTTATTCAATATAAAATATAAATATTAAATAATTAAATATGTATAATATAATTATTGTAAGGATTATATTTTATAAGTTAGTTAGTAGTATTTATTTCAAACTTTTAATCAATTATTTTGATAATAACTTAGCTTGATATATAATAATATAGTAGATGATAATCCGCGTCATGTGCGGAATGAGTTTTTTTTACAAATATGTTGTATTTAAATATATATTTTGTTATACATAATTTTTTTCATACATTTGATTAGGGATGGACATTTGAGTACCATTTGGTTCGGTTAGGTTCTATTTGGTTTAGATCTTTGGGGGTTTGGTTTGAATGCAAGCTCGGTTTGGGTTTAGCTTCTGATAACCCATTTATCTTTTGAAATTATTTTAAGATTCATATATATTTTAAATTTCTCAAAATCTAAATATAAAAATAATATATAACATATAAATTTGAAAATGTATGACAAAATACTTAACATAAAATTAGTTTATCTTAAATATTTGGACAAACAATCAATAAATATTTCAATTTGTTTTGGTATTTGAAGTATCGTTGAGCTATTTTAAAATGTACTTTTAACTATTTATATATTTCACAGTATTTTGGAAAATTTAAAAAATCTCATGTATTTTGTATCTTCTTAGATGTTAAATTTAACTATAATTAATATATTTATGTATATAAATTTGGTTCGAGTACTCTCTGATATCTGAAATATTTTGATTCACTTTCAGTTCTCTAGATATCAAAACTTTGAATCCGTCTGGATATCTGACCCATTTTTGTTAATTTTCTGTACTACCATGATTGGATTTAGTTCAGTTATTTGGATTCAGATTTTTTGCTCAACTCTATATCTTTTATTGTAACAATATTTTAAACGAAAGGGATGATGGTTCATTGATTTTGGGTATGCAACAATTTTTAAACCAAAACACTTTCTATTATATACGTGATCCATTTAGTTAATCATTAAAAACTGTTTATGATCAATTAAAAAATGATTGGCTGAACTAAAAAAACGTAACCATTGATCACAAAATTTTCAAAGTGAGTTTTTTACAATTTTTAGTAATTTATAGTCGTTTTTAAAAATTCAAAATATAACATATAAGAAAAAATATAATTTTTTTATTATATGATTAATGTGATTGTTTAAATTCTTTTAATAATATAAAATTAAATAAAAAGTAAAGAGGATAAAATATTGTTATCAAATCTTTATTACTCGTAATCATTAATTGTGATATATATGTTAATCATATTAGGTAATTCTGTAGCTTTTATTTAAGGAAAAAAATAGAGAATATTCTTGTGTACACTACTAATTATATATGATAGTTAATTTAATAAAAATGTAACATATGTTTAGTTGGACCAACATATTTCTCTAAGAGTTCTGAAAATTATTTTCATTGTGACACGTGTCTACAAAAAAATTGTTGTAATACTCCAAAATTAATATAAGGGATATATAAGATTCAAATAAACATGTATATGTGTAAATAGTAACAATAGTTTCATATTTATCTATCTTAAAATATTTTTAGTTATCATGAATAAGTTGTTTCTTTTAGATCATGTAAATCATTAGAAAAAATGCATAAAGCAAAAAAGAAAACAACTAAATTCATGAAAAATATATAGGAAAATAACTTTCGCTACTTACTCCAATCAACTGTGATTTGGAAAAAAAAATATGTGTGAGTTATTGGTATAATTAAACCAAAATGAACACTGAGAGAAAGTAAATAATTACATTTTAATTTTTGTTATTATAATTGGACAAGTATTTAATTTGTAGAATGGATAGTAAAATACATTATAAAAATTGTGAACATTAATGTTACTTTTAATTAAAAGTAAATTAAAATTTTAAAATAAATTTATATTATTAGTTTATTTATATGTCTCTCTGTATGGCGGATTTATCCTAGTACTAACTAATTTCTTGAACTAAACTTCTAATCTTTGGAAGATCTATTGAAAAGTGATTTAGCTTCAAATACCTGCCCAATAATCATACTTACTGAATGAGGATATGATATCATCATGGTCAAAATCAGAATAGATATATTATTCCTAATCTCAGACACCCAAAAACAAACTCAAACAATCAGAATCACCATCTACTGAAGATAGTAATAATCTATCCACCACATCTTATACGTGGATATTGTGAAACCCAAAGTTATGAAACAAAGACATAAAGAGTCGAAAAATATTTTGAATTTGGATCAAGTAGTATAGTAGATTTTTGGACTAGTCCACTATATTGTATTAAGTATATTTCTCCCATCACCAATCGTATCAGTAGATAGGATTTACAAAAAAAAAGACTGAAAAAATAACATAAACAAATCCAAGGTCTTACCATAAAGAAACCTAAACTAACATTTACATATGGGCCATTTAAACCAAACCCATCATGACTATCATCTCGTAGTCGACCCATTTTAGGTGGTGTTATGAATTTTACGGATTCTTTGTCCTTCATAATTGTTAGACCATTTCAATCTATTTTGATATTTTATCTCTAAAATAGATAAATTATATAATAGAGGTGAAGTTTAATCCAATATATTTTTAAAAATAATAATCTCTTATGATAGAGTAAAATAGAGCATTGCTATTTATTCTTTTATTTATAGAAGAAAAAAAAATAATCTCTATTTTAAAGAAAAAATATAATTGGATTGCAATCAATTTACCTCTAAATACTCGCAAATATAGGAATGGGCCAAATTAAAAAAAATATAGGAATGGGTTAAATATGGTCTTAGCAATTCCATATCTATATTATTATTTATTAGCCCAGGAGCTTCTTCTTCTTTTTTTCTAACTATGTAACCAATAATTCAACATCAACATTGTTTTGATATGAAGGTTTCACTGTACCTGCATTCTGATTGTAAAATTATGTTAATAGTTTAAAGTTAATGGAACTAAAGATGGATACTGTTATTCAAATGTATCGGTGAAACATAACATCACAATTAATTATGTGTACGATAATAGTTAATTAATCATTTATCCTACGAAAAAAGATTAATCTTTTATACAAAAGTAAGATGGATTTCATTAAAAATGGTAAGCTAGATTTTTTTTTTTCTATTAACTAACAAATAATGACCAAACAAAAGCAACAAAAACTCGAACACAAGACGCGTGTCCCACAAATAACTTACACTCACTCATATATATACACTAAACATCATTCAGAAATCAGAATGTAAAATCACAAGAAAGAAAATATAACAAAATGGGCTACGAAAAACTCGGACCATCCAAGCCAAGTGGTTCGGTCACAGCCACCACAGCTCCAGCTCCAAACGTGAACAAAGTCACCTCGGAGAACACTACACGGAGAAGAAAGAAGCTTTTAGTGTCGTCACTCGTCTTAGCTTTCGCACTTATCCTCGCCGCCGCGATTTTCGCCGGCGTCCGCTCAAATGTCAACTCCTCCCAACACGTCCCAGGCCTAGCTCGAAAACCAAGCCAAGCTATCTCCAAAGCGTGCGAGCTAACTCGTTTCCCGGACCTATGCGTTGACTCACTCACGAACTTCCCCGGCTCACTCGCCGCCTCCTCCGCCAAAGATCTGATCCACGTGTCCGTGAACATGACGTTACACCACTTCACCCACGCGCTCTACTCATCCTCCTCCTTCTCCTTCCTCGACATGCCGCCACGCGTCCGCTCCGCCTACGACTCTTGCCTCGAGCTGCTTGACGACTCAGTGGACGCGCTCTCACGCGCTCTCTCCTCAGTCCTATCCGTCTCAAAGGTTCAGACGAAGCCGCAAGACGTAGTGACGTGGCTCAGCTCGGCTCTTACGAACCACGACACGTGTGTGGAAGGGTTCGACGGTGTTGGTGGTGACGGTGGTGTGAAAGAGCAGATGACTGATGCGTTAAAGAATCTCTCGGAGCTTGTAAGCAACTGTTTAGCGATCTTTGCAGCAAACAGTGACGGTAGAGAGGGGAATGACTTCGCTGGAGTGCCGATACAGAATGGGAGGAGGCTCTTGGACTTGAAGTTCCCGAGATGGACGAAGAGAAGAGAGCGTGAGATGTTGGAGATGCCTGTGACTGAGATACAAGCTGATATCATCGTCTCGAAAGACGGTAACGGCACGTGCAAGACTATATCGGAAGCTATCAAGAAAGCTCCTCAGTACAGTAGTCGCCGGATAATTATCTACGTTAAAGCAGGAAGGTGAAAATTACGGTTTTATCCCTTACATTTCTCGTGATTATTTTTTTTCTCGAGGTTTGTGTTTTTTTTTTACTGTTACGTCTGTGAAAAATGATGAAAGTAACGTCTTATAGTTGTACGGAAAAGTGTTAATAATTGCGTTACCATCTCTGTGAATCTTTTCTTGTTTTGTTTTGGAAGGTATGAAGAGGACAACCTTAAGGTGGGTAGGAAGAAGATTAATTTGATGTTTGTTGGAGATGGGAAAGGTAAAACTGTAATTTCTGGAGGGAAGAGTATATTTGACAATATCACCACCTTTCACACCGCTTCGTTTGGTAATGTTTCTTTCTTTGTTCCTTTTTTAGTTTTTTTTTTTGCTAAACTTCCTTTCTTTTTTAGTTTTACTATGCCATTCTACTTTTGAAAATAATAGTACGATAGTTAAAAGTAATGAAACACTTTTGGCATGAAAAAGTAATATAGAACACTAAACTCAACATTATTTATACAAGTAAACAAAATTGCAATGAATTATAAATTGAGAATTTGTATTATGGACGTCAAAAATAAAAAAGATCTTGGTAGCGCCATAACTGAAAAAATTAAAAGAACCTTTAGTACGTGGTATTTACAGGCAAATCATGAAAAGAACTAAATGGCAGTCAACATTTATGATATAATAGTATGGTTTCCCCACTGAGATTAATATAGTATGTTTTGACCGAAAAAAGAAACGTATATAAATACTTTGGAAAGGAAAAAAAATAACTAGTAAGAAAAGTTCTTGGAATCAGATACCGTGAAGGGGGCCATGTGCTAGCTGTGTTGATTGCGAATTTGCGAAGTGATAGGTTCAGAGAGTCCGACAGATTCTATCGAAGTCGGAAACCGTTTACAAAATTAGTTGTCTTTGACCACTTGTGTCTATTTTCTTTTTTCATATGGATTATGGATCACTAAAGATACCTAGTTTGAAGTAAATTTTATGTACTCCACCAGTAAACAAGTCAATATTGTAGTAATATTTCTTTTAGTTCTTTTTGCCTTAATCATCTTTTAACACAAAGATATTGTTTTAAAACGTCATTATTTTCTACCTCTTGATCAGTTCCAAAACCTCCATTGGGCAGAGCCACGACTAACTTTAAATTTACCAACTTTTGTTTCTCACTCACGGTAGGTGAAACCTAATTTGTACTTAGTTTTTTGTACATTTACTTGTTTGTTGTTTTAAAGCAAATCATGATCTAAAAAAAGAGAGAAAAATCATGATCTATATATTCATCAAAAACCTTTCAATTAAACTTCATATAAATAATAGCACAACATTCAAACAAAAAAACACTTGCTTGTTAGTCTGACACATATATTACATAATTCATAAATTAGATCATATATTTTAATGCTTTATAGTTCGGTTTCTGTTTTTCGATTAGATTCAATATGATTATGGAGTTGTTAGGTAATACACTTACACTGAATCGGACATCTTATGAAATGCTGCCGCCTATCCAACCAAACTCACATGCATGTTGTTGTGGTCTTAATGTGCATTGAATCTAGTCTACTCTACTCACTCTACTCAAATCATAAAACATTCTTTGGTAAACAAATTTTAGATACATTACACTCATCTAGAACTCATTTATATATCACGCATACAAGTACGTACATCAGTAAATGCATGCATGTTCCATATATATATACTGATTTGTATGCATCTTCAAATCTTCATAGAGGCATATGCATACTTATATCATATATGCTTACACATCTAGAAGGATAAACACACTCACATGGAACGCAACCTAAAGTTGGAGGTAGGCCGCGCAATTACTGACCCACAAATTTGTACATATATATACACATTCATGATGGGAGACATAGAAGAGTTGCATTTATTTAATTATACATATAGTTGGATAGTGGGTCATTGCTAATTTTGTGTGTTTGGACGCGTTAGAGATCACTAGTTGCATTAATATTTCTAGGTAAAGACATTGCATACTACTATTTGATTTTTAAGTATATGTAAATCCAATTTATGTTTTGTTTGACTTCATTTGTTGAATCTATATTTAGAGATAAAACAGTTTATGATGAGTTAACGTAATTACATTGTTTTCTTATGTTTAATATTAAAAACAAAGACATCACTGTGTGTTTCTTGTTTCTTTCCCCAGCTGCGACCGGAGCCGGGTTTATTGCAAGAGACATAACATTCGAAAATTGGGCCGGTCCGGCAAAGCACCAGGCAGTTGCTCTCCGCATTGGGTCTGACCATGCGGTGATCTATCGATGCAATATAATTGGTTACCAAGACACACTATACGTCCACTCAAACCGCCAATTCTTTCGTGAATGTGATATCTACGGTACAGTCGACTTCATCTTCGGTAATGCAGCTGTAGTGCTACAAAACTGTAGCATCTATGCACGCAAACCCATGGACCTTCAGAAAAACACAATCACAGCTCAGAACCGAAAAGACCCGAACCAAAACACAGGAATATCGATACACGCCTCTAGGGTTTTGGCCACCCCTGATCTCCAAGCGACCAATGGTACCATCCAGACTTATCTAGGCCGGCCGTGGAAGTTATTCTCTAGGACGGTTTACATGTTATCGTATATCGGTAATCACGTACACACGAGAGGTTGGCTTGAGTGGAACACAAGTTCATTTGCTTTAGATACTCTTTATTACGGTGAGTATTTGAACACGGGACCCGGTTCGAACCTTTCGCAACGTGTGAGTTGGCCAGGGTATCGGGTCATCAATTCAACGGCTGAGGCAAACCGGTTTACGGTGACAGAGTTTATATACGGTTCTTCGTGGTTGCCTTCAACCGGAGTCTCGTTCTTGGCTGGATTAAACATTTAGGTAAAGAAAATATATAGTGATTTTCTTTACGATGCATTGTTTCATTCTTGCGTCCTTATATTAATGGGCATATGATTAATCCTATCCTATATGTATACATATTTTAAACTTTTTAATTGTATGATTTCGGGATATATAATTCACTAAGATTGTGACTCGAGGATAACTATATGCAGTATTCTTTTCGATGATACAGATTATATTTCGGTACGATGAAATAATCGTTGAGTATTATGTACATAAGTGTACAAAAACTAGTTTGGTTTTAGATAAATTTGAATGGAAATATAAAGTTTTACTTTAAAAGGATATATATATGTCAACTTTAGTGCTTTTGTGTCGAGGGATAAAACTCCAGCGACATCAATTTTTTGAAAGCTTTAACTAATATAGTAATATTCAAAAACATGCACTGTTTATAAACATAACTAATTAAAAAAAAAAAAAAAAAGAGACATGGAGGCGTCGGTGGCGGTACGAACCAATGTGACTGAACACTGAAGTCAATAAAGTCACAAGACAGAACCGACACCGACTGTGGGGTCCACGATTTTGGGAACTTTAGTTCCGACAATTAGAGGTCCGATTCACTCACTATCAGCAATAATACTAAACACTAACATGTTCTATTACGTTATGCATTATAATTCATTCTAATTTAAACTGAGAAGTATTAATATAACAAATTGATGACCTACGAGTAGCTATGCCCTACTGTTTTATTTGCTTCACGTGACGAATTAGAATCTATTAGAGATTATAACTTATAAGGTGAAAAAAACTATTGCATCTATTATTGTTAACTATTTCAATTCTAATTATCAACTCTCCTATTGTCTCTCTCCAATCAATTATCGTATGATCCATAGCTGATTTATAGATAGATATAATAATTAATCAAAATGTGGCACCGGCTTGCGCCCGCGGAACAGTTTAAATAGTAGTACGTCTACAGGTTAATGTTGCTATACAACTGCTTGTAAATAGAGATTTTGTCGGAACTTCCTTAATCAAGTGATTAAAGTGTTTTTAAATTCAGTAAAATGTTTGATTGTTAAAATCATCAAAACTCTTTTTAAATAAAAAACCAATAACATTCCCTAAATGTCCATTTCTTCTATATTTTCAATAGGAATTCAATACCATTGAACCGTTTGCCATATTGTAGGGTTGGCTATGGATGTGTCCTTGTCAATCCAACCGATAACACACAAAAATAACGATTATATCTAAAATTGTTAGAATGTGTTGGGGGAAAATACTGTAAAATAATTATGTCCTTGCTTATTAAAATGCGTTAGTCAAAATTTAATAATTATGTTCCTCACAACATATGTAATACAATCACCATTTTTCTTCTACACAGTTTGTTGCTATTGGATATGGATAGATTATGTGAATTAACATGATATATATAAAAGCACTTCAATTTAAAACAACTAAGCTAACAAATACGCAGATCTACGCCCAATAAAAACCATCAAACTGAAAACCAAGACACACATAAGCAAAACTCTAGCAGTTACTGAATCATACCAAATTTAACATATATACCAAATTAACCATACTTGTTCAGTATATATTCTCATTCTGCTGCACCTTATTTCATCTTAACTCATGTTTTTTTTCTATCATAATACAATGTATAGATTTAGGCCCGTTCCCATGGATGACCCAAAAAAAGAGTCTTAGGCCCACATAAAAGCCCATATCTTAATAGCCACAATCTTTCCTCACCCGTCATTTTTCCCCATCCCCACGCCAAAACACACTTATCCCAGTAACCAAACAAACCCCACAAATCCATCATCCCCAAACCCCAACACTCCTCTAAAACCCTAACCTCTCCAGACTCCCACCCAAAAATCTCCACACTGATCATTTCCCAAAACCATGTCAATCACCAAAGCCGCCTTCCTCATCCACCTCCAAACCCTCACCAGATCCCTCCGCCGCCCCCTCCTCCCCCCTCCTCCCTTCTCCTCCTCCCTCCGCCACTTCTCCTTCGCCACACAAGAAGAAGCCGCCGCCGAACGCCGCAAACGCAAACGCCGTCTCCGCATGGAACCCCCTCTCAACTCCTTCAACAACAACAGATCCCCTCAACAACAACAACAACAACAAATCTCCAGACCAATCCAAAACCCTAACATCCCCAAACTCCCCGAATCCGTCTCCTCCCTCGCCGGCAAACGCCTCGATCTCCACAACCACATCCTCAAACTCATCCGAGAGAACGACCTCGAAGAGGCCGCGCTCTACACTCGCCACTCCGTCTACTCCAACTGCCGCCCGACGATCTTCACCGTCAACGCTGTCTTGGCCGCGCAGCTGAGGCAAGGGAAGTGCGGACCTCTCTTGCGGTTACATGGGTTCATAAATCAAGCCGGGATCGCGGCGAATATCGTCACTTATAATTTGATTTTCCAGGCTTATTTTGATGTTAGGAAGCCCGATCTTGCGTTGGAGCATTATAAGTTGTTCCTTGATAACGCGCCTTTGAGTCCTTCTGTTGCCACTTTTAGGATTCTTGTTAAAGGTTTGGTTGATTATGAGAATCTTGAGAAGGCCTTTGAGGTTAAGGAGGATATGTTTGTTAGAGGGTTTGTTGCTGATCCTGTTGTTTACGGCTATTTGATGATGGGGTTTGTGAAGAAAGGGGATGGTGATGGTGTGGTTAGGCTTTATGAGGAGTTGAAGGAGAAGCTTGGTGGGTTTGTTGAGGATGGGGTTGTGTATGGGCAGTTGATGAAAGGGTGTTTTTTGAAGGGGATGGAGGGAGAAGCTATGGAGTTTTATGAGGAAGCTGTTGGTGAGGAGTCGAAGGTGAGGATGAGTGCTATGGCGTTTAATTATGTGTTGGAGGCTTTGTGTGAGAATGGGAAGTTTGATGAGGCTTTGAAGTTGTTTGATAGGATGAAGAAGGAGCATAGTCCACCGAAGAGGTTGGTGTTGAATTTGGGGAGTTTTAATGTGATTGTTAATGGGTATTGTGGGGAAGGGAGGTTTGTGGAGGCTGTGGAGGTTTTTTGGCAAATGGGTGAGTTTAGGTGTAGTCCTGATACGTTATCGTTTAATAATTTGATGAATCAGTTGTGTGAGAATGGATTGTTGGCTGAGGCTGAGAAGCTTTATGGTGAGATGGATGAGAAAAAGGTGAAGCCTGATGAGTATACTTATGGTTTGTTGATGGATACTTGTTTCAAGGAAGGTAAGATAGACGAAGGAGCTGCGTATTACAAGACAATGGTTGAGTCGGGTTTAAGACCAAACTTGGCGGTGTATAACCGGCTGCAAGATCAGTTAGTTAAAGCTGGGAAACTTGATGATGCCAAATCCTTCTTTGATATGATGGTGAGCAAGCTCGAAATGGACGATGAGGCTTACAAGTTCATCATGAGGGCGTTGAGTGAAGCTGGGAGACTTGACGATGTGCTTAAGATTGTGGATGGGATGCTGGACGATGAATCCGTGAAAGTGAGTGAAGATGTACAAGAGTTTGTAAAAGGAGAGCTGAGGAAAGAAGGAAGAGAGGATGATCTGCAGAAACTGATGGATGAGAAGGAGAGATTGAAAGCTGAGGCAAAGGCGAAAGAGTTGGAAGCAGCTGAAGCGAAGAAGAGGAGTACGAATATTACTATAGCTTCGTTGATACCTTCAAAACAGGAGGACGAAAAGGGTGAAAAGGTAAAGATGCTGTGGGATAATAACGGTGTTGCTGAAGAAATCGATGTGGCGGATGTGGTGGCTCAAGGAGAAGAAGCTGGTGTGGTGGCTCAAGGAGAAGCACCAGGTGGATCTAACGGTCTGGCTCCACCGTGATGATGATTGTCGTTTGCTTTTGGATTTATTAGTCTTTGTTTTATGTAATTAGGGATTTAGTTGAGACAATAAGCTTATGAGCCACCTTTTGGTGTTATGTCTGGTTTTTGAAAAATCATTTTTCAAGCTTGCTTCGTGCTTTCAGATTTTTTTTTTTTTTTTGAGCAAAACTGATTCACTTGATGTTACTCGTAGCTCCATGGTTCTTTCATTTAGGAGATATCATTTGCTGGAGCACCACCCAAAGCTTTAAGCTGAAACCGAAACAAAGATGTTATCATAGACCACGATTCCATTAATTAATGATCATGTCAAAGTATCAAGTTGTTAGAATCGTACTTACTTCCAAGAGTTGAGACACTAAAAGATTACACGGTGAAGGCTCTGGTGAATACAGATTAACTTAAGCTCTACTACGTATAAAGTCAACAATGATAAGCTCGATGAAGTATCAGAGACCAAACTACGAGTAGCTTGTATCGAACAGGTAGATAAAAGTTCCTCACCAAACCTGTTTGTAGATGTGTAATGATGAATAGAAGAATAATAGTAGTTTGTAGATGATCGTATATGATGTAGAATGATAACATTTAAAATTTACGTGATCTAAAATTTATCTTTTCATATTCTCGTCACTGCAAGCGTTGGATCTCTTGGATGTTTAAATACTTAAACCTTAGCCAGCATTATAAATTGCAGTGAATAGATGTTGATGAGTGTTTTCAAAACCAAATTGATCGTAAGATGCGCAATGTTTTCAATGAGGTGATCAGTAGATCAAAATTTTCAAGTCACAAGTTAACTATGTTGATGATAATATATCAGAGAAACAAAAATCATAGGCGAAAACGCTACTATATACTTACCAATTATTTGACTACCTAATTATAATTTTGCTTCGTTTTATTTTTTATTTTTTTACTAAATCTACTATATTAAAACAGAGTCATTCTTTTTATCTACTGATACAAGTTGTCATTTAAATTTGGACCCTTTCTAGAATGTTATAAATAATATAAGTCATATAATTGATTGAACCATATTACTTAAATTAAACCAACACAATTAATGTAAAGATACGACATTAATGTAAACTACATTCAAAATATGGCAGATATCTATGTGTATACCGAAAACACATATTTTCTCCTACAAATATGGAATGTTCTAAAAAAATATATATCATCAAAATATGAAATATGGAAATCTACTAATTATATTTAAATTAAACCAGTGGTTATTTATGGAATATAGTCTTGGGCTTACTTTTATTTTTTGAACAAATTATATAGTTTGGTCTTTGGACTTAGTATTAAGAAAAAAACTCTAAAAACATTGAATAAACTTTTCACCTTAAAATATCAAAAAATCAATTATTATTTTCAGACCCAAAAGGTATTTAATATTTTTAACAAAACAAAATTATCTATTATTCATCATTTATTTAAATCATGTACTTTAAAACATGTTAATATATTTTTTATTCTAAATAACAATCACTTTGTTTTGATTAATTTCAATGGTAACTTTTAAATAATTTATTATTTTATTTTTCTTAAATAATTTACAGATTAAAAAAATGTAAAGCAAAACCAAAAACCAAATCTTAAAACTAAAATCCAAAACCAAAAGCCGAAAACACATGTTATATTTTCTTGCTTTGTTTATTTACAAAATAAACTATTTCAATTTTTTTTTTTAATTTGTTGTCATCTTTTCAGTTTTGAATTAGATGTTCGATTATTTGAGATTTGTTTGTTGCTAATATTAGTTCAAACTAATTTAGCGGGTTTAAAAATTAAAAATCCAAACCAAAAACTGAAAATGAAAAGTAGAAACTTAAAAACTAAAAACCAAAAACCAAAAACCAAAATCTAAAAATAAAAATTGAAACTAAAAACTAATGAAAAATAATCATCACCACCAATTTTGGTGAATTGGTTTTATATCAAAATATTCTCTAATTTAAAGACAAAACTCAATTATATAAATTTTTAATCATAAAAATTTTCGCGCTTTTAAGCGCGGGTCAAAATCTAGTATAGTTATATTTCTGCTTTTGGCATAAAAGCGTCCGCAAGGAGGTTTATCACCCATCCTTAGCACAAAATCATAGATTAATATAAATACAAAATGTTATAAAATCTAAGTTAGTTAAGAATTGGTTCTTAATTAATAATTATAAAGATTTGTTCCTTAGAGATGTGGTATCGTACTATTGGATAGGTAGAGTAATGTGTTTCGTTTTGAAAAAAGTAATTTTTCATTCTAGATTGAAGACAGAGAAAAAAAATTGGTTTCGACGAAGACGATTTATAATTATTTTATCTTTATTTTAATCATGTAATAAATAAAAGTTATAATTTCATTTATTTTAAAATTTATTATTTTTTATTTCTAAAAATTTCAAATTGGAAAAAAATCATTGGACAAACAATTTTGATTAGAGTCCTTAATTATTCAAACAAAACTATATAATAAAAAGCATCTTGTAAAAAAAGTGCTTTGCTTATTTAAATGATTGGTTCGGTGACACATTATTGTTTGCTTCAGCATAGCTATCAGTTATTCTTAGGCGGTGGCGGTGGCGGAGGACGTCCATAACCGGGTTTCCTCGGGTCATGTCTTGGATTTGGGCCTGGTTCATCATAATCCATCAACTTCGGAATAGCCTCTTGAACCTATATCTCTATAATATTATTTGAGAAGTCAGTTTCTTACGTGTCGCGCTCACGTTAACTCTCGCGATGGTTGATTACATAGATACCCTTAATGAATTATCAGATTTTAAAATTATTTTTTTTATTTAATTTTTTTTACCTCTTTCCAAATAACATATATAATAAAAAGGAAATATTTCTAAAATTTTAAAACAAACTAGATTTTGACCCGCGCTTAAGAAGTGCGGGTATTTTTTTTATTGACCGTAAAGACAAACATTAAATTAATTTATAACTATTATTATATACATATTATTTAAAAATTGTTCTATTATTGTTATTCGTCTAATCAAATATTTTCATTGTATTTTCATATCTGAGTCACACATGTGGTCGTACAGATCACTCGTACGTAATAAGGGTAGGATATAATAAAAACATATGGAAAAAACACCTTTAAAAGAATATGCAAGACCGTTATTAATCCACTGAAAATGATATTTTTGACATATCAATATATATTTGACTTGCATAAGAATAAATTTTTGTACGTAAAATTTGATTAAGAATTTGTGTTATTTTTAATTTTTGCAATATATATTATATTTAGATTTTGATCCGCGCTTTGAAAGCGCGGTTTTTTTTGAATTATAAACAAATTTTTGGTTTGTTATACAATATTAATTTACAAAGTTGTATTATATAGAAGCAAAAAAGTTTTTAAGAAAAATATATATAATTTATGAATTATTGTATTTGAGATTTTGTATGTACGTTTTTATGTAACTCTCTCTTAGAGTTTTGGGCCTTAATATTTTACTCGGACTCAAAAAATTGAATCGAAACCGATTCAATAATACATGTTCAGTTTGGTTGGGTCCGGTTAAAAACATATTGGGTATTTTTCTAGACCTGCGGGTCTCTATCCGAGTTTAAGTTCTATCTGAGGGCTAATCAGACATCTAAAATACCCAAAATATTTTGAGTATATTAGGTATATTTCATTATTTCAAATAAGTTTTTGGTATTATATATATTTTTAAGTGTTGAGTTCAGATATTTGGTAATAATTTTTGGTTTCGAATAAAATTTCAGTTTTTTTAGAAATATAATTTTGGCATCCAAATAAAATTTTGTTAGTTTTTGTTTCTCGTAGTCAGATTTCAGATAAAATTTGGATTTTCAGATACTTCAAATTTTTTTTGGGGTCCTAAATTGCTGAATCGATTTGAGCTGTATAAGTTATATGTATCCAGAAATCACATATTTATAGCTATTTGAATTTGGATCTGAACCTAGTCGGATCCAAAAAGAACCGACGCAAGCCGATTTTTTTTTAAATGTCTAAGTTAATAATAATAACATACAATAAACATGAGTTGGAGGTTATCTTTGATAGTGAAAAAGTTATATTAAGAGTTAAAATGTTCTTATCGAGATCATCATATAGTTTTCGATTAAAAAAATAAAAAATTCTATCAAGGTATTAAATTGTTAGTTAGATACATTAATACAATTATGGGGAGAATAATATTGTTTTAGTTGCTATTAATATGGTCAATACTAATAATGTTGTATGGTTAGAGAAAATAAAGGGTCCAAACAACTTTCATAGGTAGATTTATTTAAACTCCTTCTCTTTTAATAGTATAGATTTTAAACGAAAATATATGTATATAATATGAATTTATTTTAATGGAAAGTTCACAAAATAGTAATACTCCCATCTCTATAATATTATTTGAGAAGTCACTTTCTTATGTGTCGCGCTCACATTAACTCTCACGATGGTTGATTACTATGATATCCCTAATGAACTAAAAAATATATTTAAATATTATTATTTCCTTATAATTTTTTTCCAAATAACAATATAAAATAAAAAGGAAACATGTATAAAGTTTACAAAACTATTTAAAAACGAAAATATAAGTATATATAAATATGGTTTCATAAAAATGGAAAGTTCACAAAATAGTAATATTTAATTTAAATATATGTTAAATAACATAAAATATAATTTTGAAGTAATAAAATACTTTCGTTAAATCTATAACTTCTTAGATAAAAAAATATTTGTAGATAGTGTGATTTCATAAAAAAAAATTCACACATATAATCTTCATGATATTAGAAAAAGAAATATTTTTTCTTTACAAAAATAATTATAAACAATAAAAAATATATATTTTTCAAAGTAATAATTTTTTTTTATATATCTATCTATTTTCTTAGTTACATAAAATAATAAAGTAACATAAACTGATATATGTGTAATTAACAGAAAAATAATAATTATAATTAGTATTATTGAAATATTTTTAAGACAACAAACAACTTAATATATTCAAAATAAAATAAAATTTTATTGTTGAATTCAGAGAAATAGATGGAGTCCAATATGTAATATTAAATCGACTATAAAAACAAAAAATTGACTAAATATAACATATCTAAAATCATATATATAATTAAAGTAATATAATATTATTAATGTAAATTATATAAATTAGTTTTTATTTTATAAATATTTATGTCCGTGCATGAGCACGGGAAGATCACCTAGTTAATA